CCTTCCTTCCTTCCTTTCTTTCTTTCTTTCTTTCTTTCTTTCTTTCTTTCTTTCAAGAAAAACAAAGCAAGCAAGGCGAAATATTAGGATTCAATGGAGATAGATGGCGAATTCACGGGACTTCATTATGTTATTCTTTGTATTTTTTCTAAATATTTGAAGTATTTCACCATCAAAATAAATATTACCACTGCACACAACCATACATCTTAGTGGTTAGGGTTAGAGCTCTTAGCTATGAGCACTGCAGCTCAGCTGCCCAGGTTTTGATTCCATTTCTACTGCTCTCTAGCTATGAGATGGAAAAATTACCTTTTCTGAGCCTTGGTCTCCTTATCTGTAAAATAAGGATAATAATATTACTTTCCTTATAGTATTTTTGTGAGGGTTGCACTAAGATGCTTAGTGTAATGCCAGGCACATAGCCAATACAATATAAGGGTTAAAAGTTTTTTAAATTATTATTTTTATTCCTCGTCCTTTGAAACTTAACTGCCACCTCTATGAAACTTTCCCCAGCACTGTCCCCAGTCTAATCCATCTATCAATCCTGGGCCAAGGAGAATTGGGCACTACATTGTGACTTTCACCTTGCTTAACTGTGTAGCTTAACTACTTGTCTTTCTTCTTGACTATCTTATTTTCATATTTATCTTTGTATCCCAAATATCTGGCGATGTCAGAAATATAAGAATCATTATGAATGACTAAAAGAACAAGTAAACGAATGAACAGGTGAATATTGCTCCTGTCTCTAGCAAACCCACTAGTGTTTTCTCCGCCCCTCTTTCCAAGGGCCCTAAACTTATTAGACTGGCTGAAGTCCCCTCTAATCACAGAAGAAATACTTAACGAAGAGTCATTATTCTGAACATCCACTCTTCTTGGGTTGAAAAGGGAAACCCATGTGTAGAAGACAAGCTTAAAACAAAGGAAAGAGCCTCTAATGGTAGAATTTGGGACCCTAAGCGCCCCCTGCCCCCCACACACCCAGAAGATAATGTAGGAACGGTCCTTAGAAGAAAGTTGTGAGTGTTCTCTTGAAAAGTTGTGTGAGTCACATTTTTTAGAAACGCAAATCATATTCTTAGTGAAGAAAAGAATGTTTTTAATTTACTGGAGAAGCTGGCTAGTTAAATCTTACTGTGAATTCTTTACTAAAGACTGAAGTAAGGAATTCTTTTGTTAAGTAAATATCCAGGGCCTTCCTTGCCAAAGAGCTTTTGAAATCTTTGCTGTAATTATGCTGATGTTTTCTGTGTTTATATGTTAAATACCTAGAGCTTAATTGTTAATGGGTAAATAAGAGCAGCCCTACGGTTCTTGCCAAAAGAGGCCCAAGAGCCGGGGCTGGAGAACAATGGCTCGGCGGGACTCCCCTGGAGCGGGCTGGAGGCAGTTAGGGAAAAAAAAACAGCAGCTGCCTCTAACTCTCTTAACGCTGCTCGCTGCTCTGGACGAACCCGGGAAGGGACAGACCTGGCGCTAAGATTGAGGCGGCTCGTCGGGTCGTGGACCTGGGCGTGAACAGAGGTGCCTGCGTTTCGTTTCTCCTCACGGACAATAAGTCAAGCTTTCCAGCTGCCCTCAAGAAAACCAGCCGGAGAATTAGGAGGCTGTCAGAATAACTATCCAGCGGACAGTGGACGGAGAGCTGGGATCACAGGCTGATTTCCCAAGGCAGGTGGCTTGGGCCCACCACTCACGAGCCACGCACGCCATTTAAGCTAATTTAACCTCTATCTTCAGGTCCTCATCAACGTAATAGGGACAAGTACCTACCTCATAAGGGTTTCATGAAAATTAAAGAAGTTAATATTGTGGGGAAATGCTTAGAGCTGAGTCTGGCACATAGTCAGTGCTATGCAAGTTAAATATTTAACTAAGAGTTAAATAAACATTGTGTTAGATTTCCATATATCATGTTTCCCTGGACAGAACAAACAACTCCTTACATTTGTAGATGGTTTGTTGTGTTGCAGTGAATTGCCATACATATTTGATTGGCCCTCCTTCATATCAATGCATATTTAAATATAGAAGACTTTCTAGACTTTTTAATATGCAGAGGATAAGAATTTGGAAGGAAGCTTCCATTTAGTTCTACTGAAAGCCCAACATGACATGTTCAGAGCAACCCTGGCATCATCATCTTAGAGCTTCTCTCTAGGGGCTGAGGTCTTAGCAGAAGCAGGTGGGGAACCTGCTGAGCCTGCCAGGTATCTCCAAGATAATCTAAGCTATTCTTGGCAAAGTAACCTTAAATCCAAAGTCAGTAGATCAGTTGTAAGGATGAGTGAACGGGAAATCTCTCTAGGTTTGCTGAGGAAGGCTTTTCCAATGTTGAAGTGGGGAAGGAAGTGGAGGACAGGCTTGAGGCAGAGACTCCATTGGCTAAGGCAAGATAGTTCAGTCCTTCAGATGAACAGAATGTGGTCAGAGATAAGGTTCTCACACAAGCAGCAGAGGAAAATGCCCTCCAGGCTTACTACTAGACTTTTAAAATTTCAGAGTTGAAAGTGGGCATTTTTACCCTCAGCTATAAGCACCTAGCCAAGAGCTAAGAGTTTCCATGTTTCTAGGCACAGAAGGCCCCTTGGTTCTCAGTGTCACTAAATTAGCACCTACTCAGGTGTGAATTTTGGGTGGGTACAACATAGAGAGGTGATCCATACAGAAGGCACTACCAGCTTCTCTCCTGGAGAGAGAAATTTGCCAAAGCACAGTCATGTCTATAATTTCACTGGATCCCCACAACCACATCTGATGAGGAAGCAGATGCTCACAGTGGCTAATGACATGCCCAGGGCCACATAGCTATTAATGACTTAGACAAATGCCTGAGCATTCTGATCCCAGCTTGTACTCTTCATCACACTCTATTACATTACCTCTCATCTTTATGGGCCCCTCAAAGGAAAGAGGTAAAAACAAGTGCTCTGCTCCTCCAAGCGCCAGGACTTGGTCCCCTATCTTCCCATTAGAACCATGGCCAGCAGCCACATGCAGGGAAGGCAGGTCAGTGACAATCACACACAAACCTTGGTGCTCTTTGAACACCCCCTTCCTCTGCAATCTTCCCAGGCCCCTGACTTGTTCCCACTCTAGGGTAGTTGCCTCAAAAGAGTCAAGACTCACAGCCCCATTATCTGCCTTCAGATGTGCAGCACCTTCTTTTCTCTGCACCATCAGAAACAGCTGGTCCTGCTCAACTCCCAGAGATGGGTTCTCCAGACGCCCCAACACTTCCATCTGCCCAAGCTGCCAGGAAGAGAAGGTATGCTCCCAGAGACACTAAAGACTGCACTCCAGAAGATGCAGACACATTCTATTATGTGACCAGCCTCCGTTCCCTCATCTTGGGTTGGGAAGGCATAGGTACTGGAGACCCTCTTGCCCAGGCCCTCTGAGGAAGCCAGGAAAAGATTCCTAGGTCAGGGAGGAGATGAGACCCCGTGGGGAAAGGGCTCTTCACAGCTACAGAGTTTATTAAAAACAACCTCCGATGTGGAAAGGGCCTTGGAGATTCTGGGGTTTAGTCCAGGAATGGCTGAGGAGCACTGGAGCAAGAGACCAAAACCAGCCAAGTCAGGAATGCAAGGAAAGGAAAGGGTTGAACAGAGAACAGAAAGACAAAGAACAGGCAGTTCCAAAGAGCCAAGAACGCAAATCGTTTGCAGACGCCGGTGTGATAGTCAACCAAGGCTCCTGTGGGAGTGCCTGTCACTGTGAGCTCAGGCACATCTACACATCACAGTGAGTGTGAGCCTGTGTGTGTAAACGTCCCCTATGAGTCACCCCGTGTGTGTAATGATCCTGTCAGTCTGTGAGTCATGGACTGTGTGTCAGAGCTGGGGTGTGCGTGTGTGTGTGTCTGTGTGTGTGTGTGTGTGTGTGTGTGTGTTCCAGTGCACAGCCTGCCAGGGCTGCCCATGCCCAGAGTGACGCTGGAATGTGAATGAAAGCCAGACAGCGCAGCGGAGGACAGAGCACTCCCAGGGTGAAGCTGTGTTTAAAGGGCACCTCGCTTCATTCACACCATATATCACACACCATATTTCTGGAGCCCATTCCAAAGAAAGCCATCTGTCCCCTCTGCCTGCTGAAACCCAGCTATATGGAGCAGCAGTGTTAAATTCTTCAGGTTTAAGGAGTTGTTTTCAGAATCAGAGATGGCCACAATCTTAGAATCCTAAATTTCAACTCCTTCATTTTAAAGAGAGAGATATTGTGGCAAAGTTAGCTGACACCGTGGTGCCAGAGTCACAGAACTAGCTCGGAGCAAAGCCAGGTGTGAACCCAGATGTCTTGTCCCCCACTCCTATCCCCTGCTGCCCCGTCCTCAGTCCACCAGCACAGAGTGGGTCTTTTTTCCTTTTTCTTCAGGGTTGTGATGAGATTACTTCTTTTTGCTAAAATGCACCCAGACCCTCCCATGGAATGAAACACTGATGTCATGTTTTAAAGGCTAGAGTCAGTGAATAACCTCAAAGGCAAAGCCGGGAAATCTCTGGCCAGATGGCCGTCGACCTAGAGTCATCTTATTTCTTCTCCTAGGGCCTCACTCTCACCACACCCAGGTCAGGAGGAGTCCCAAGGAGATCTGTTTGTAAGTCTCTGTGTCCACAACTAGCTAGGCCCTTGGGCCAACTTGACACTTTGTGATTCATAAGTTGCTTATGAGACATCTATGAATGTCTCACTCAGGACTCCTGATTCTTTCTCTTCCACCTTCCTCATGGCTGTTTCGCTGCTTAATTTCATTTGCCCCACCAAAATGAAAAAATAACTACAGTAGGGGATTTATTTTAGCAGTTCTGAGGAAGGGTTTAATAGGTAAACAGCTTGGACCTATAACTATGAAGATGAGGTTTGGGATTATCTATGAGTCAATTAACTATTCCATTTATTCTTTTCAGATGACTCAGAGTTGACCTGAACTTTGAAGGGATCACTTCAGTCACTGGATTTATTGTTCTTGTTTCATATTAATTAAGTATTTACTATATACACAGCACTGCTAAGGCCATTCACTAGGCACAGACTCTACCCTGCATCCTTGGAGAGCAGAGATTGATTATCTCATTTATCCAGACTTCAAAGTTCTTTAACTCCAATCATTGTCACTGAGTGTGGAGGCTTCTGGGATGCAGAGGGAACAACACAGCAGAACGAATGAAAGGGAGAGAGAAATCACTGCTCTGGATCAGGTCTGGAGGAAGGCTGGTCTTCCATCTGAGGCCAGGATCTGCATTCACAGAATGGTATTTTTCAAACAGGGCTCTGCTAAACCCTTGCCTTGGGAAAGGGAGTTAGGATGCCCTTTTGAATGGTGGGCAGACTGACAGATCGAGAAAATGTTGATATAATGTCCTTCGTATGTTGCACATGGACCGAAAGAGAATAACCAAATGTTTCCTTGAACGTAAATTAATATATTTATAAGGATATTTATTTCAGCATTATATGTGATAGCAAAGAGCTCTAAACAATCTGAAAAATATTTTAATAGTTTAGTTAAATAAATTATGGTATAAACATACAAGGAAAATTAATGCAGTTGTGAAGAAGAATGAATTATATCTATATACATTGACTTGAAAAGAGATCAATGATTATTGGGTTTTTTAAAAAATCAAGCTACAGAATATGATCTTCTTTTGCATTAAAAAAATTAAAAAGGGTAGCCTGTAAGTAGATATATATATTTGTATATGTTTGTATATATGAAAAGCGGGGAAAATGTGTATCTGTAGAAAATGTGCAAAACTATATGAAAAAAATGTGGAGGGATACACATGAATCTGGTTACCTTGTTTATTTTGGAGGGTGGGGGTCAGAATGGGTAAGAAAATTAATTTTTTATAAGCTCTGTATTGTTTGACTTGTAAGCATGAATTGTTTTTATAATTTTAGTAAAGAAGAATAAAATGTACTGTAAAAATAAAGAGAATAAAAATTGACCTGAAGATGTTCACTGGCCATGCTCACCACTGGTGCTTGCCCCATGTGAAATGCCTCTCATATTATGACATTTGGAGAGCTGGCAGTCATCACTTAAGAAAACATAGCACATTTGGCCTCTGCTGCAGCATCATGGAACAAAACAAGGACTTCAACTGTCAGCTCAAAAGAAAAATACTGATTTGCATAAACATATGTGACATAAATGTATTCAGTGACTCTGAGATATCTCACTCTAAACAGATAAAATTAATTAAAACTAGTACAAGTTTCTGGCACTATACTCCAATTCCCAATTATTTATCTGGGGCATTGAAAATTGGAGCACATCACAGATTCTTAAATCATATCCTGAATCAGGAGGAGGGACAGGAAAAGGGAAGAAGGTTTGCTGTATGTGCCAGGCACTAAGCTAGGCACTATGCCTCCCTCATCCCCTTTGATCCTTATAATAATCCAGCAAGGTAGGAAGAAAGAGAACACACACACACACATTCAAGCACGCACTAGAAACAATGCAAGAGGAGGAGACCAACAGAGGAAGGCTCTAAGACTCAGGGAAGCAATACCCCTAAGGCCTTGCAAGTGACTGAAACAGAACTCAAACTAGTTTAGGCAAACATTGAACTATTTGGCTCTCATAACTAAAAATATCCACGAGTAGATAGCTCAGTGGAATCAGGATTCAACTTATGCCAGCCAGGATTTATTCTGTCTCTGTATTTCTCAGCTCTGTTTTCCTCTGTGTTGGCTTCATTTTTCAGGCACAATCTTTTGACATCACAACCCAGAAATTTCATGTTAGTTAGTTCTTTGCAACTACCTAGTCCAATGAAAAGAAAGCACTTGTTTCCCAATAGTTCCAGCAAAAGTGCCAGGATACCTCTCAAGGGATCAGCTAGTTTCATGTGCCCATTCCTGAATTAATTACCATGGCAACCTGATTGACCAGACTTAGTCAGCCCTTGGAGTAGAAATGGGGAAGTGGTCTCCTCATCCAAAATTAGAGGGATAGTACCAAAAGAAGAAGGGAGGCATGCTGAGAAAGCAGACCACAGATACCCATCACAATGTCATATAGAAACCTATGAGCAAATTGTAAACTGTGTGAAATTGGTAAGTATTGGTTATTTACACCTGTCATCCTTTGGCAAACATAAGGCCCTTGGAAATTGTTCTACATAACGATAGAAGTTCTGAAGACTCTAAAGACCCTCTTCTCCCATTGCTAAGGTTAAGGTTTCAGGGAAACGCCCAAGAATGGCCTGAGAACTTTTGTCAGTAAACACAGGAACCATCAGTTCCAGGCTGTGGAGAATACCAGTTGCCTAAAGAGCTGTGATGACAGAAGGTCCTTGATGAACATGGAGGCTGGAAATGTCCTGGGAAGAACTCTGGACTAAGAGTCAGGTACCTGGGCTCCAGCTCAAGCTCTGTTTCTAACAAGCCATGTGACCCTGAACAAATGTCCTAAGTTCTCTAGGATCAGAGTTCTCTCATATAAAAATAAAGGGACCGGGGCAGAGTATGATGACATCTAAAGTAATCTCCAGCTTTGAAATTTTGATTCTGGGTCAGGAAAAGTTGGAAATACAAGTTGGAAAAAGTTTATTGATGTCTCTGTGAATAAATAAGTGAGCTAATAATAGTAGGCTGAAAAACTATACCACATCCGTTGGTCAAATCTGTGGCAATTTGAACAACAAAATAATTGGTGATAGTAACAGAATATAACCCACAAATAAAATAAAAATGCATGAATTCATACTGATACAGACACATACATACATACATACATGAGAAGGAAAAGGAAAGGCTCTTATTTACAGTAAAATTTCAACCAGAAGGAATAATGAAGTTAGAAAGCCATCAATGGATGCTAAATAGTGGATGAAAGTTTGATGCAAAATGCAATATTTACAAAGTTTCAAGATATGTCCCCATAAATTATTTATTAATTACAAAGGGGAAAAATAGTAGCTTTATACTGATGAAATGTGAAGGCCACCACTTTAACCAATGATCAAAGTTAACAACAGCAATGTTGGAACAAATCAACCTCGTGTGTTTCTGATATGGGCACTGAGAAGGCCAACAGCATTCCTTCAGTGTCTTTATGCCCGAAATACATAACCCGAATCTAATCACAAGAAAATGTCAGGGGAAAAAATGAATTGAGGGAAATTTTACTTAATGAGTGACTTGTACTATTTTAAAATGACAAAGTCTAATTTGAAATTCTTTAATTAAAGTCGAGGAAGTTCATGAAACAAAAAGAAAGATTAAGGAAATATCCTAAAGAGACTATGACAATTAAATACAATATGTGATCCTGGATTGTGTCCTGAACCAGGAAAACAAATAGTTACAAAGGGCCTTATCAGGATAATTGATAAAACTGAACATGGGTGATGACCTATGCATACATTGCAACTTGGCTGAAGGAATCACTTAGGATTATCCTAACAATGCCCATGTTACAACTAAGGAAGCCAAGGCTCAGAAAGATTTAAAGACTTCTCTGTACTTCACACTATTTAAAAAAATAAATTCCAAGTGGATTAGCAATTTAAAAGTATTTTTTAAATGAAGAAATGTAGACTATTCATATAACCTCAGGGCAATACAAATCTGTGGATACCTGCACAAACTCTGTACTAGAAGATAAAAAAAAAAGAGACAGATTTGACAATGTAAAATATAAAATATGAGCAAAGATAACTTCAATAAAATTGAAAGATAAAACACTGGAAGAAAATACTTACAAAGCATATAACATAAGAACGAATTGCCCTAATATAAAAGATTGCTTACAAATTGATTAGAAAAAGACAATAGGAAAAAAGGAGAAAAGATATAAAGGCAATTCATCAAAAAGAAAATATCAATGAACAATTATTGTATGAAAATACAATCAACCTTCCTTGCTGACTATTGTTAGAGAAATGCAATATGAAACTGATAAGATATAATTGTTTAATACATTAAGTTGGTAACATAGCAGAAAGATTGATACTTTCCAGTGCTGGTGACATTGTGCGGAAATGGACATTTATATACAAGGCATATAGAAATGTGAATGCTAAAAGATTTTTGAAATATTAATAAAATCTATTAAAATTAAAGTTACACAGACACATTGACCAAAAAAAATCCCACTTTAAGGAATTTAGTTTGAGAAATAGAGTACCAGTACATAATGAAATGTGTAAAAATATGTTTATTGTAGCTTTGTTTGAAGTAGCCAAAAAAAAGAAAGGAAAAGGCAGCAACCTCAGAGTTCATTAATTGAGAAATGATTGAATAATTTCATAGTACAATTATAAAATGGATCACACAGTTATCAAAAATATTAATATCTATTCTCCTCAAACTCTTCCAAAAAATCAAAGAGGAGGCAATACTTCCTAACTCCTTTTATGAGGCCAATATTACCCTGCTACCAAAACTTGGTAAAAAATAACACAAAAAAAGAAAACTACAGACCAATATCTCTCATAAACACATACACAAAAATCCTAAATAAGATACTAGCGAACTGAATACAGCAACATATTAAAAAGATTATACATCATGACCAAGTGGGTTCCATCCCAGAGGCACAGGGATGGTTCAACGTACACAAATCAATTAATGTGACACATCACATAAACAAATTAAAAAATATGATTATATCAATAGATGCAGAAAAAGCCTTTGACAAGATACAACATCCGTTTATGATCAAAACACTTAACACAATCGGTATAGAAGGAAGGTAACTTAACATAATAAGGGCCATATATGACAAACCCTCAGCCAACATTATACTTAATGGTAACAAACTAAAAACCTTCCTTTTAAGATCAGGAACAAGGCAAGGTGTCCACTATCACCGCTGTTATTCAATATAACATTAGAGGTCCTAGAGAGGGCAATCAGGGAAGAGAAAGATATAAAAGGCATCCAAATAGGAAAGAAGAAGTCATACTGTCACTATTTGCAGATGACATGATTCTCTATATAGAAAACCCTAAAGACTCCACTACTGGAAACAATAAGCAAATACAGTTAAGTTTCTGGATACAAAATCAATGTTCAAAAATGCATAGTGTTCCTATACTCTAATAATGAAGTGTCAGAAAAAGAAGTGGAAAAAATAATTCCTTTTGCAATTGTAACAAAAAGAATAAAATACCTAGGAATAAATTTAACAAAACATGAGAAGGACCTATATGATGAAAACTACAAGACCCTATTAAAAGAAATTGAAGAAGATACAAAGAAATGGAAAGATATTCTGTGTTTCGGGATTGGAAGAATCAATATAGGTTAAATGACCTTATTACCTAAAGCATTATACAGATTTAATGCAAACCTCATCAAAATCCCATCGGCATTTTTTAAAGAAATAGAACAAAAAATCATCAGATTTACATGGAAGCACAAAAGACCCTGAATTGCCAAAGCCATCCTGAGAAAAAAGAACAAGGCTGGAGGCATCACTCTGCCTGACTTCAAGGTATACTACAAAGCAACAATAATCAAAACGGCATGATATTGGCAGAAAACAGACACACAGACCAGTGGAACAGAATTGAGAGTCCAGAAGTAAACCCATAATAATATGGGCAAATAATTTTTGACAAAGAAGCCAAAAACATACAAAGGAGAAAGGAAAGCCTCTTCAATAAATGGTGCTGGGAAAATTGGAATCTCCATATTGCCACCTGCAAAAGAATGAAACTAGACTGTTGTCTGTTACCACACACCAAAATTAACTCAAAATGGATTAAGGACCTGAATATAAGACATGAAACAATAAAATGCATAGAAGAAAACATAGGAAATAAACTCATGGACCTTTGACTTAAAGAAGATTTTATGAATTTGACCTCAAAGGCAAGGGAAGTAAAAGCAAAAATAAATGAATGGGACTATATCAAACTAAAAAGCTTCTGCACAGCAAAGGAAACCATCAATGAAGTAAAGAGACAGCCATCCCAATGGAAAAATATATTTTCAAACAACGCCTCTGATAAAGGCCTAATATCCAAAATATACAAAGAACTCATACAACTCTATAACAACAAAAAAACAAACCATCCAATCAAAAAATGGGCAGAGGACCTGAACAGACACTTCTCCCAAGAAGACATACAAATGGCCAGCAAACGTATGAAAAGATACTCAACATCGCTAGCTATTAGGGAAATGCAAATCAAAACCACAATGAGATACCATCTCACACTCGTTGCCATAGTTGTAATCAACAGTAATACCAAATGTTGGAGGGGATGCAGA